ATGATGGAATATAATCAGGAAAAATAAACTCTGAATTATTATGCTGTATACCTGAAACTAAAACAATGTTGTAAATGAACTATACCTCAGTTAAAAAAAAAGTATAAGCCTTCAGCTATAACTCTTTTAATTGTATGGAAACCAACATAAGAATTTTGAACTAGATATGGGTCCTTGGCATACCCTAATAAATCATCTTTTAAAAAGAATTTAAATCAAAAAGCACATGAATATAATTTAACATGGAAATGAAAATTGCAGTGAGAGTTTAAGAGTGTTGTAAATTTTTTTCCATACTAGATTGTTTCTAACACTGATTTCCAGAATTTAAGGTTATAAAATAAGATCATAAAATCAAGTGCCAAAGTGTCAAGTGACTATTTTAAAAACAGTACATTCCTTGACAACTTTTTCAAGATCGTGTTCTGTTTCTCCTGAAGTTCAGAGAAATTTCTGGGAGGGATGGACCCAGTCTAAGCTATCTGCACAGGCAAATGTACAAACTTCATGAGTTCACTTAGTGAATAGGGATGGGCTTAGGGGAGAGTGATTTTATATTTTACACTAAGAGAACCTAGGGTTTAATTTATTTCCCTGTCTCATATCTGGAAGTTTCTATCAGAAAACTGACTCTATGTGACAAATAAAATGAAAGGAATCTGTATGAAATATTAGTGCTCACAATTTCGGAATCCAAGCAGAATGCTGCCATACCTAACTAGGTCTGGATTTTTCTGCAAAATGGGATTGGAGGTTTGTAATAGTAGTGAAATTGGCTGGTGATTTGTCAGAGTAAATTAATTTCTACCTATTCAACAAACATTGGTTAAGTGCCCCCAAAGGCCTACTTTAAACCTTGGACCCCAGCTCGGCACCAGGGACTTCTTAGAAATTAGAAAACTTGAGGGAGGAGTTAATCTCAGTTCGTGCCTATCTGGAGAGACTGCCCTTTCAAGTAAAGCTTGAAACTGCTGGAGGCTATGTTAGTACCCTCTGGGTGCAAACCCTGATTCCTGCTTCACACCACCAGCCCTTTGTTGCTGCCAAAGATTTCAGAGTGAGGATTGATTGTAGGCTTTGCAGGTTAAAGGCACACGTGGCAGGCAGGGGTAGAGCGCTGAGCCCACAAAGTCACATGGTTACAAATTCAGTTACTAAAGTAGTCATTTCTTAGCCATTTTGCAGTCACTGTTGCATAGGTGAAAGTTGTGGATTTCTCCTTAGGAAGATGAAGTCCAAGGACACACATACTTACAAATTGGTATGTCAGAAACCTTAGGTCTTGGAAGTCATTTCCACACCTGAGAGTTAAAGACTCACTTACAATAGCCCTAAGTGGCAGAGCCCAATTCACATGCAAAAGTATCCCCTATGCCACCTTGGCCAATTTAGTCTTGCCACTTTTCTCTGAAAGCCCACTCCAGGGCTCAGGACCCTAACTGCCGAGCCCCAAAACTCAAGACTGGGTCTCAGCCCAGAACGTCTGCTTCTAGCTTCTAGCTTCTAGGACACACTCAGCCAGTGATCCGCCATCCTGAAAGTCTTCCCTTGCACCTCTCCCCTTTCCCGGCTCTGTGCCTAAGCCAATCCATGCTTTCTACTATTCCATTCTCAGGTTCCTTGCCCCAGTATGAGTCTGTCCTGAGGAGAGTTAGTTTCAGGCAACTACTTCCCCTGCCTGAGATTTTACTGCCTTCGGGCAGTGAAGCCTCTGGAGTTAAAAAGGAGAAAAGTTGAGTAAGGGTAACTTGGAAGTTAGGTGTCCTGAGCCCGGAGACCATCATCCTCTCAACGGAAAGAAATGCGGCAAGAGGTAGGCATGCCCAAGGAAACAGTGAAGCTTCTGGACACCGAGCAGTGTGGCACAGACTTGCATTTCGGGTCACTCATGGCTCGCCCGAAGCGAGTTTTGGCTCTGCCTGGGATAACCACCTAGCTGGGGTCCTTGCTGCCCTCCACCGGCTTCCGATGCCGCTGCAGTGCTTGCCGCGCTCAATGGTGTACGGGCTGCGGTGTATCATGCGCTGCGGGCTCGGACCTTCAGGTAGTCTTAGAGCAGCAGCCCGACAGAGAGAACCGGAAACCTGTTGCGCAGGATGTAGGAGGGTGGAGGTGCTGGGTAACTGGGTGTTGCGGAACACACTTAACCTGGAGAGTGAGTTCACGTTTCATGGATGCAGGTCCTCTTTGTTCTGGCGTGGGCGCGCTTGCGGCAAGTTTGAGGGTGAACGCTACGTGGATGCTCTTGTGGTCGTGTCATTTTGTGAGTATCTGTGGTTTGGGAGTGGGCACATGTTTGGAGACAATTCTGAGTTTGTGTGTGTGTAAGAGTATGGCTGGAATTGAATGTGAGGATTACACTCTGCAAGACTCTTCAGCATTGTCAAGCTTGGTGGGCTTTCTAGCAAAGGACTGAATTGCGGTAGATTTGGGTGAGGGGCTGATATCAAGCCACTGTAACATCTTGGTAACAGCAGCCAGAATTAAAGAGCAGTTAGGCAAGTGGGAAGGTGGGTGAGTTTTTGGTGATGGATGGTGGAGGGGAAGGGGCGGGGTTGGAAGTGCGCCTGGAGGATTGGGAAGCATCTATGGCTCGAACCTCCATGCTCAAGCCCAGCGGGGCATCCCGCCCCTCCTTCCCCACACATGGACCACCCAGTGTTGACTCCAGGAATCCACACAAGGTGGGGAGTGGGAAAGTAGGATGCAATCCCACAGAATCCCCCTTGAGCTTTCTCAGGAAGCTCTTCCAATCCCTACCTAGCTGGAAAACAGGTACGTGGTTACCAACGAGAAGATTGGTTTAACACGAGAATCTGATCTCCATTTCAAAGATGAGTACATTGAGGTGTTAGACATTTCTAGCCCATGATCTTACTGCCTGGAAAAGGCACAGCTGGAATAAGTTCAAGTCTGACTAGTTCTTGAACCTCTACCTCTTGATTCCCATTGCTCTGCCCCCCCCCGGGGGGGGGATAATTCCAGCTGCTTGAATCAGACACCCTGGTTGAGCACAGAATCATCAACTCTTCTGTGCACTAACCTGCAAGTGGCATTTTTAGTGGGGTCTACAGTCAGATTTCGGGGAGCCAAGATTACCTGTAACGCTGGACTCTGCCCTACAAGATCGTACACCTAGGGATGGAGTCGGGTGCGTGTTCAAAACCCGCAGAATCGAACAGGTGAAGTTTACCATGACGTCAAACTGTCTTCAAATTCCTGCTCACTTTACGTGTGTTTTTCGTTGGTCCTCAGCA